GGGGTTTCACCATGTTGACCAGGATGGTCTCGATCTCTTGACCTTGTGATCCACCCGCCTCGGCCTCCCAAAGTGCTGGGATTACAGGCTTGAGCCACCGCGCCCGGCCCAGCTCTTTTCTTTACAACATAATTTCTACATGTATTTACTTTGTACAGACCACTATAGCTACCATATTAAGGCCAGTGTTATCAGCTTAGAATTAGAATTAGATTGCAGAAATATTATCTCAGAAGGTCATGCCAAAGAAAACCCTTGAAAGTTGACACTATCTAAAATACCAGGTAGTATATACAGAACCTGAGGCAGAATACCATCTGCAGACCTCAAATTTTAAGAAAAAAGCTTTGAAAGAAATGGCATGACGAACCCATAGCTTCACAAAGTTGAATTTATTGAATCAATAGAATTACAGCCATCTTCTTCAATTTTTAACTTTGCAAGTTACAACTGTCAGATTTTTTTCTCTTAAAACTGATTTCCTGGAGAGTTAACTTCTTGAAGCATCAGTAGAGAGAAGCAAAGACAAGACAGGCAAATGAACAATTTGTAATATCAACAAAGACATTTGAAAGAGAAGGTTGGTATCATCTCATCACCACATTTTCTTTAGGCCTTTTCTTAATTCCCCAAGATTATGAGTCTTAGTGTAAAAAAATATATAACCCATTTCTTTTTGCCACTTCATCCAGGCAATTCTCCATTTCCCATGAGAGTGTATAAGAAGTCTACCATTGGCATCATCTCCAATCACAGCCTACTGCATCCATCAGGGTATTACTTTCTCTATGACAGCATGTGTGCAGGAGGGCTCTTGTGTTGGAATGTGGAACTGGCTTCTTGGGGGGATTATGTATGCTGTGGCATTTGCTCCATGGCACTCAGCTCTTAAATGAACTCTGGCTTCATCTAGGTTTGTTTCTTTCATTGTGACACATGGGCTTTCTTTATTTGTCATGAAGTGTGTTTCTTTTTCTGTCATTTGTGATTTCTCTCTTTCACTCAGTGCCACATCTCTGTGGTCTCCATAGGTGCTGTTTATGTTGAATTTATGATGCTATAGAGACCAATAAAATGAAGAACTTCATAAAGAATCTAATATTCATGATAATCCTCTGCCTAGAAATAATCGTTTCTATTTAGTCTGAAATTGGTAAATATTTCACAGAATTTTAGACTGTAAACCTTAATAATTATAATTTCAAGGAATATTCTTAGCTTTCAATTTTTCATATGGAAACTTCTTGACAGGATCATTGGTAACATACAGTATTTATTTTATAGCATGACTGTAGAGGTAGCCAAACCTTCCATGGCTCGATCTCCTCTTTCCCTTACATTTACATCATCATGTTCATTTACCTCCACTATTGAAGAAATAAAGTCTCCAACCCCTAATGTAGCACATTGGTTTACCGATTGCATATCACTATCTTCTGTGTCATTCATTAGATGAAAAACTAAGCCTTGCTGAAAAATGGATCTGTCCATGTGTTGTATAGAAACAAGATTTATAACCTCAGCTGGCTGATACTAGTTAGCAAATGTTTCTCCATGTAGTTATGACCCCTTTGTAAAAAAATTAAAAATACAGTTATCTTACTTGTGAATAACTTTGCTTTTGATATCTCATCAATTAATCTTCCTAACAGCTTTGTTTGGGGTAGATATTAATGTCATCCTCATTTTAAAGATGAGGAAAATGAGACGCAAAGAGGCTAACTGTCTTGCCGGTAATAAAGCTAGCAAGTGAGTGGCAGGAAATTGTCTTTTCTTAAATACCGTGCTTTGTCCTGTTAAGAAGTTGTTAAAAGTCATTAGCTCTGTGACTGCATGTAGTAGTCTTGCATTTTCACTTCATCCATTTACTTTGTTCAGGTTGATTATATAGTCAGGGGTATATATTATGAGAAGATGTACTTAAAAGATACAAAACTTTAATTCAAGAAAATGTTTGAAAGACCTCTAACATTTGTGGTAATATAATTTATTGTTATTTATTTTATTGTTATTTTTCTCTTAGTCATTTGATCAATATTTATTGAGCCACCTACTATNTTATTTTATTGTTATTTTTCTCTTAGTCATTTGATCAATATTTATTGAGCCACCTACTATACCTGTTTTTGTTTTTTTTTTTTGAGACAGAATCTCGCTTTGTTGCCAGGCACCAGGCTGGAATGCAATGGCACAATCTCGGCTCACTGCAACCTCTGCCTCCTGGGTTCAAGCAACTGTCCTGCCTCAGCCTCCCAAGTAGCTGGAACTAGAGGTGCATGCCACCACACCCAGCTAATTTTTGTATTTTAGTAGAGACGGGGTTTTACCATGTTGACCAGGATGGTCTCAATCTTTTGACCTCATGATCTGCCTGCCTCAGCCCCTCAACGTGCTGAGATTACAGGTGTGAGCCACTGCGCCTGGCCTGCTATGGCTTTTTAAAATATAATTATAATCCACCAGTTATTTCGTGACCTTTGGAATTGGTTTTACATTTGGAAAACATAAAATATTATAAATGTAATGAGATCAGTGTCTCAGATTGTACACCGTTTTTCATCCCTTCAAGCAAAGTGAAAAAAAAAGATCTCTTTCATGTTTCTGATTTTCAGCTTTGTTCCAGCAGTGTTCTAAAAGAGTTTCTTTTAAAAATCCTTTAAAAAGATTGCTTCAGAATTCCCTTAGTATAAACCAAAGCCAGAATTAATACTTTCTTTTGATAGAAATTAAATTCCTTCTGACTTATTTGAGAAGCTGGAATATATACTAGATATGAATTTATTATAATTTGTAACACAGTATCTAAACCAAAAAATAATAAACATCCAAGTTGTCATGGTTTTACTGGTCCAAATTGAACCCTTTTGAGTTTTATCTTTAATGTCTTAGATTTCCCAGTATCGAGGTTGACTTGGATAATTTCACATTTAGAAGCTAAATCATTTATTTCCTGTTGAGTAGACAAGGACTGAAAATTATATTTTTATTTAATAATTAAGAGCTTCTAGCTACCTAAAGTGAAGATGGTATTTTAAAGTTGTAATATGCAAAATATTTGCCCTTTGAACTCTTAGATACTATTAGGACACCAGTTCTGATCTAAACAATCTTGGACTAATAGTTTTGAAGCTTTTGCAAACAGAAGTTTCAGTAGAATTGCAGATAGCAGGTCTACATATTCAAGAAAGGAAAGGAAAGAAGAAAAAAGGAAGAGAAGAAAGGTAATTGGACTTAAAAAATCATACCATTTCCTATTTCAAAAGAAAAAAATAGGAACAATTTTTAAACACCACAGGACCACAAACTGTTTAAACCGGAAGAAACTGTAGCCAAAAAATAAAGATTCTATACTGTGAGATAATCACCTAAGATGTTCTACTTTATAAAATCTCATTTAGAAATATTTAACAATTGATTTATTACTTATTTCAATATGTTTATCTACAATGTTCCATCCCTTCATTCATGTGTATTATTTTTATGCTATTTGTATGCTATAGTTAGAAAACTAGACATAGTGTGAAGAAAGAATAGTATCTTTTGAAAACACTAAACCAGCTACTATTAAAATTTAGTGATTCTACCTCACTTACAAACTTTTAGAAATGAATCAGAGTACATAAATTGTTTCATGAAAAGTAAAATTAGTATCTCTCTCTCTCTCTGACATCCAAATTAGTAGCTAAGCCATAGAGAT